GTGTGTTTGTCCGTTTCTGCGTGACCAGTGTGTGTGTTTGTTCGTTTCTGTGTGATCAGTGTGTGTTTGTTCGTTTCTATGTATGCTGTGTGTGTGTGTGTGTGTGTGTGTGTGTGTGTGTGCTTGTCAGTTTCTGTGTGTCCAGTGTGTGTGTGTGCTTGTCAGTTTCTCTTTGTCTTTGTCCAGTGTGTGTGTCCTTGTCAGTTTCTTTGTGTCCAGTGTGTGTGTGCTTTTCAGTTTTTGTGTGCCCAATGTGAGTGTGCTTGTCAGTTTCTCTTTGTCCAGTGTGTGTGCTTGTCTGTTTCTGTGTGTCCAGTGTGTGTGCTTGTCTGTTTCTGTGTGTCCAGTGTGTATGTGTGTGTGCTTGTCAGTTTCTCTTTGTCTTTGTCCAGTGTGTGTGTGCTTATCAGTTTCTCTTTGTCCAGTGTGTGTGCTTGTCAGTTTTTGTGTGCCCAGTGTGTTTGTGTTTGTCAGTCTCTCTTTATCCAGTGTGTGTGTGTTTATCAGTTTCTGTGTGTCCAGTGTATGTGTGTGCTTATCAGTTTCTGTGTGTCAAGTGTGTGTGTTTGTCAGTTTCTGTGTGTCCAGTGTGTGTGTGCTTGTCGGTTTCTGTGTGTCCAGTGTGTGTGTGCTTATTTCTGTTTCTATGTGTTCAAAGTGTGTCTGTATTTCTGAGTGACCTGCAAGTGTGTGTGTTTGTCTTTGTCTGTTTCTGTGTGTCCAGTAAGTGTGTGTGTGTGTGTTTGGGTGTTTCAGTGTGTGTAGTGTGTGTGCGTCTGGACAGGCCCTAGCAAAATAAAACGTCCAACACACCTTTCAATTGCTTCCTTTCTCTCTGTCCCTTTCCCTCTTCCTCTTCCTATTTATCACTCTCATTCTGCCTCTCCCTCCCTCTCCCGGGCTCAGAGGTGACAGGGGGGGCAGAGGCTATCTGTGTCCTCAAAGCACTGATTGCTGCTGAAATCCTGAATCGATTTGCAGAGACAGGGGAAAACAATAACCGAGGCCGTATCCCCAGCAGGAAAGCCTTATAAAACCTCACACTGATGAAACGTGCAGCTTATTGACTATGACACTTCATAAAGTACATGTGTTCGTTTCAGATTCACTGCCTGTACCTTCTGGTCTAATGTGTAGATTGACTTGCACTCTTTATGCTGTGTGAGATGTTTCGCTCTCAGAAGGTACCGTAGATGATCGCGAGGTACTGTAAGTGTATGGAAATGCGGTTTCCAAGCTCTGCAACCCAACACAATGTGCATATGAACATATATCCGCCCTTATTTATTTAGAAATCACAGATACAAAACAAATCAAGTTCTTATATTTGAAGTTATGCCCGTTCATTTTTCAGTCAGGTGAGTCTTACTAGTTACAATTAGAAGTGATCAGTTCTAGGCATTTTCGGTACGAACTGTTCACAGCACACTTCAAACAGAATCTGCAGGGGTGTCGCAGAAATGCATTATGGGAGAACCCCCCCTGGACAGGGCAAGGATGACTGAAGGTGGAGGCTCAGTGGTCCAGATGTTGAGTTAAAGGCCTCGAAAGCAGGTGGTTCCTGGTTCAAAGCCTGCAGCTGTGCCCCTGACTCCGCTGTGCGTCACCCTGAACAGGTTACTGACTCCCCCTTGTGCTCTGCCCTTCAGAAGAGACATCAAACCAAGGTCTCGCTGTCAGCGGCTCTGCGGCGCCCCCTGTGGATGGCTCAGGTCACTGCCCAGGTCTGGAAGCTGCTTTGGGTAAAAAGCTCTGCTTTGTTATTGTTGTCTTAGAAACCTGTACGGTGTCCTAAAATATTCTGTTTTTCTTGATTAGTTTAAAGTCCGATTTGGCAGATGACATTACCTAGATGACAACCCAGTGTTACATTAATAGTTATATGTTGAACTGCAGTCCCAATTTCTTAGACTGCTTATTAAATCTCAGTAACAGAATGAATTCATTTACAGTATAGGGCAAATTTACACATTTCTAATTAAGCACAGATTCGGGAACATTATGACAGTACTGTAGTGCACCATGTTGTTGCAAACCCCTCGTCTCATCACGGGCGAGAGCGAGAGTTCACAGAAATTGTGACGTAAGGCGGCCCTTCCTGCTCACTAGTCACTGTGCTGACTGATGTACTGTGATGGACAAGCAGATAAGTACAGATCGTGCAGCAGACATTTCACAGCAGAACTGTTCCAATGTTATCTGCAAGCAGAGTTAACAAGTAAGTAGTATTCGTCTACAAAACCATCTTGAATTTGAGAGCACTATTTCTATTGGATTAAACGAGCTGGAATCACACGCCTGCTTGTTTACAGTGTCACAGGGCCGCTTCACCTCACCGGATGTTTTGTTGCCTCGGTCTGAATCACAGAACCTGCGCAGACCTGGAAATTCAGTCCATTTAGTGATGTAAATCAGAGGTTTTACAAGTTACTGTGCACATTTTACTTTTATTATGGTTTGAAATGCACTCATTAACGCTGATGCTTTCTAACATCGAAATATAAAAAGAGTGTTACAGCCCCCCTTTAGTGAATCCTATGTTATCGATGTTTTATATTAATCCATGAGTTATAAGTAAAACCAACAGTCTGATCCCCGGATAGTGACCCAGTTTGCAAAAGATGGTCCTGGGTACTTCAGTCATTAACTGATCACAATCATTCACCGTCTTTTTAAGTCCTGTTTGTTTACAAATCCGCATTATAAGAATTAAGTAACTTTTCTGTTAAACAGAGCTCAATCAAGTTGAAATCGCCAGGCTCACAGATACCCCGTTTGCTTTCATTAGATATAACCTTGATTCGCTCGTTAGGTTCACAAATCAAGGTGCTGGCTGTGTTTGTGAAGATGACGTAGGGGTTGGGATTTTCATGTTAATTCGGCGATGTTTTGGACATGTTTTAAAAGCTACTTGAGGAGCTCATAGTTACAGTGCTCTACAAAAGCACTGGCACAGCACAGTGACAGCTGTTATGTTTGGATTCAAGTGAAGCAGTCTGATCATAATTCTGAATTAATCCAAGCATATACTGATCATATTAGAAGAAAGGTGGTGTTCAACCTCAGATCTCAGATTTAAATCTCTCTAAGTAGCATTTTACACTCTGAAGAAAAAAGTGACATCATAGCACCCTGAAAAACAGGCAAGATGGCTGTGGCAGTATGATTGGCCAGCAGTTATATTGCCCTGCAACACACAGCTGGTAGCCCCACTGAAGTATGCCTTTGAAGCTCAGCAGGTGTGGGCCTGGTCAGTACCTAGATGGGAGACCTTTTGGGAAGGTTGTTGCTGGAAGAGGTGTCAGTGGGGCCAGCAGGGGGCGCTCACCCTGCAGTCTGTGTGGGTCCTAATGCCCCAGTGTAGTGATGGGGACACTATTCTGTAAAATGACGCCGTCCTGCAGAAGGGACATAAATCCGAGGTCCTGACTCTCTTTGGTCATTAAAAATCCCAGGGTGTTTCTCAAAAAGAGTAGGGGTGTTACCCCGAAGTCCTGGCCCGATTTCCCCCTGGCCTTTACCAATCATGGTTCTTCTGGGCACTGGGAATAATTGGGTTGAACACAAAGTGTGTTTTTTGTTCTAATATGATCAAATGTATGCATGGGATTGCACTATAAGATGTTGTATATGTTATTGTACCTGTCATATTATTTTTAAGATTAGAAATTGGCTGTAAAGCTTCAAGAAGAGTTTGACTGCAGTCCCAGTACTTTCTGAGGGCACTGTATATTTGTCAAGTTTCAAGTTGATATAACACAGGTGTGTTCATGGAGGTTTTATATTGTACTTTTACTATCTTCTGGATTCATTTTTAAAAATACAGTAACTGAGTCTTTATGTGCCTCTCTGTTTCTCTCTCCATCTTTCCTTCCCCCTGTATTCCTGTCTCTCTCTCCTCTCTCTGTTACTCTATGTCTCTCTCTCCTCTCTCTGTTCCTGTCCATCTTTCTCCTCTCTCTCTGTTCCTGTCCATCTCTCTCCCCTCTCTCTCTGCTCCTCTCTTTCTTCTCTCTCTGTCCCTGCCTTTCTCCTCCCCCCGTCTCTCGGCATGATGCCATTGTGTTGGTGCTGAGCTGGCAGCTCTGTGCTCTGCTCCCTGTGTCACCTTTCCCCGCCAGCTGCTGCTGGCTCTGGCCTGTCACACACACAGGCTCTCGGGGAGGAGCTGCGATACCGGGGTAAACGTGCGACACTACAGTACGCTGTCTGGATCAATACACGAGTCATGTCTGTGTTCTTTGTACTTTCCAAAATGAATGAGACACAAAGGCTTTTACACAAAGCTTGTCATGTTAAAAGACGGTGCTTCTAGAATTCTTAGTAGTGGTGAATTCCTAGCGGAAGTGGTTATTATATCAGTTCACGCTCACAGGCTGCTGCACCAGAACCATCAGCTGAGTCTGTAGTTCAGTAGTTTGGTCAAATTCTAAATAAGACAAAATGAGCTGACGGATATATATATATAATATTACATATAACAAATGTTTATAGAGGACAAATAAAGGGATAACGTCCTTAATGCTTTGGCATGTGACAACCCCATCTTGCTTACTAGGAATGAACCAGGGAGGCAGCAGTCAGGGTGCAGCTGGGCTGGAGAAGGAGGCTGGGAAGATGTGTGCAGAGCTGTGGGTGGCCCAGCCAGCAAGCGGGTGTTTCTACGCAGGACAGCGGAAGCGTGAGTGATATTTGACCTCCTCCTGCCCCTCTGTTAAATACGTTGATTAGCAGCAGAAACAGTATGGTTTGAGTGTGTCCCAGTGATCGACTCCACTGTGTCCTCGGCATTAACTAACACCAGATCAGAATAATTTTCTGCCGTCTTCCGATCTATGCATTTAAACGAGAGAGCTGACAAACGAGAGCAGGCCAAAGGAACCCATCTAGCCCGTTTGGCAGTGAGTAGTTCATTGATCCCAGTCGAACCAAGGTATCGGCTTCCTTATTGTATTGTATAAGGAATGCAATACAAAGCAAATACACCACAAGTGGGTGACCATGGGTTTTTGTCATTGTTTCATTGGCTTGCTGAGGTCTACACCAGTTCCCCAGCCCTGGTCCTGTCGACTAGTTTGTGCACCAGCTGGTATTTTTGGTTTTCTGTTTGGGGGATATATGCAGATTTGTTTCAGCTGTTTAAGGGTCATATGGGATTTGTCATTGATGCCAAGTTTGTACCCATTTCTTAGTCTCAGATCTGCCCCCATTCAGGTGTGCTGTCTGAAATGTAACCAATTGGACCTCTACAGAAGGAAAAACGGTAAGGGCGTGGCAGGTGTGTCACTCACGTTGTGGGCGTGTCATTGTGTGTCACTCCCATTGTGGGCGTGTCAGACACGACGCCACTCCCATTGTGAGCGTTTGGATAATACCATTCCCGGTGTGGGCGTGTCTGATAGCGTGGTTATCACCTGTGCCTGTTCATCATCAGCCAATCCAGAAGTAAGATCCGAGTCAGCAATAAAGGCCAACAAAGTTGAGGAGAGGCAGCGTGAAAATCTGAGTGCTGAAGCTGTTGAAAGTTCAAGGAGTTCAATAAAAGTCGAAGTAAACAAGCAAGCGGGTCAAGTTAGCGCTGGAGACATAGATCTCGGCTGGAATTAAATCACGCAGACTGTTCCTCCAGGATCAGGGCTGGGAAACATGGTCTCTGCAGCATCAGAAGGAGGAACTTCGTGGGCAGTGCAGCCCTCAGCAGTGACCGCGAATACTGTAGCAGGGCAGAGCCGAAATAGCGCGCTATTGGTGGGCTGGAGAACACCGCTGTTTCGCAGTCTGACAACTGTTGGTGCAGCCCACCACGGGCTCTGCGTTTCTTGAGTTTTCTCTTCCTGAGGAAGGCGCCCTGAGGGTCCAGTATTCGTGAGACCTGCCCTCAGTGCACTGCTGCTGAAACCAATAGTGTACGAGAGCTCCGATGTCGGAGTATTGAAACATCTCGCTGTTTTAAAAACCCACCCTCTTGTCTCGCATTGTTTAATAGTGCGATTGCCGGTTTTGAAGGGACGTACCGAGGTGTCTCAGAAGTTTTTTTAAAATCTCCTGTGTCTGGCGGGGCTCTCTGTACCCTTTTTGAACATGCAAAACAGTGCTGTTTAACGATTTCTTTTTGGTCGTTTTTTTTTTTGGGGGTGGGGTTAATAAGTCTCCTGAGCTGTTTAAAACTAAGAACAAAATGCAGTGTGCAAAACGGGAGACCTGCGAGGCTTGGGAGTTGTGGTGAAGCTGAGGAAAGCGCTCTCTCTCCCTTGTTCGGGGAGGGAGAAGCTGAATATATCTAGCCCATCGTCCTCGGAAATAAACCTGACGCAGCTCTGAAACCCTGTATTCAGCTCAGATTGATATAAATCGGTCGAGCAGCGACCTTGCGTTGTTACCAGTTTGCTGTGTAACGCTGCCCCCCACTGGATCCTCTGTCGCAGTACGTCCTGTGCCATGTTTTAAACGGATCCCATCAATACACAGAGACGCGTGAGGGCTGGTTATATGGCCACGTACCGTTAGACCGGTGCGTCAGTCCGTGTTGCACTACCGAAGCTGTCCACCAGGGGGACACCTGCGCCTGTGCGAGGCGGATTTTTCCACCAAATCTTGTGCTCCGAAAGCCCAAGTAAAACAGCTTGATTAAAAAAAAAAAAAGTAAATGGATTTGTGAAGGGCAAAACACCAGATCGAAATAAACCTCGGCTGTAATCGCAGGGTTAGGCTTCACACTTTTGTTTCTCTCTTTACGTGGGCT